AATAAGTGATATGTTAAACTCTAATGATCACTTACATAAATGATTTAATATATTTTAACATGGACGCCAAGTTAAATACCGCAACATTTTATGTATTATTTGTACAAAAGATTTGATATCAACAATTGATGCTAAGTTAAATTAAATTTTTAATACGGACGCCAAGTTAAATTCCACAATATTTTATGTATGACTCGTACAAAAGATTTGATATCAACAATTGATGTTAAGTTAAATATTTCTATATAGATGACCATCGTTTTTGATATATCTTGACATTTTTATATCACAATTATAAAACGATAGGGGTGGTGGTGGGATGTTTTTATATAGAAGACCATCGTCTTGATATGATATCAAAAACTGGCACCAAGTTAAATTCTACTATCAAAATAAAAAGTAAAACCCAAGTAATACTATCTTTATTAGTTAAATTATATAAATTCTATCAAGTTAAATTTGATTAAATTTTATAAATTCTATCAAGTTAAATTTTATTATTATAAGACGATGGGGGTGGTGGTGGGATTTTTTAATTGAGGAATAGTAACTTTAATCGTATACAAATTTACCTTTTTTAAAAAAGGTAAAAAAAGCGCTAAGCGTGCGTGCTTCTCGTGTGGAAACCACCATTTGGGCCGGTTTCACCAACGTCATTACTTAATCGGCCGTGGAACTGATGACTAATTGCGTTTGCTGTTTGATGAAATTCTTTGTATATGATACATTGCAACCCAAGTTATAATGGCTTTATTCCCCTTCAAAAATTATTATAACTTTAATTTTTTTCTTAATTTTTCATCAAAATTTTATCAAAATTTTATGTATTATTCGTAAAAAAGATTTGATATCAACAATTGGCGCCAAGTTATATTCCATATAATTTGAATACCAAATTAAATAAATAATATTAACTTTAATGATATGTATCATTCCTATGAAAGATTTGATATCAAGAACTGGCGCCAAGTTAAATCCCACTTCTTTATACCATGCCAAATTAAATAAATAATGGATATTAATCTAATGGTATGTATTATTAAATTAATTTTATATTCTATAAGGGAATGTTGTACATGTTGGGACACCGTACAAGTTGGGACAGCTGAATATCTCGACTGTGCATTGTGGCGACGTCTATCTAAGGATTGGGGATATAAAGTTTGCTTGTAAACAAACGTTTCATGTGCGTTAGACCGAAGAACACGTGTTGAAAAACTGTGTATTACGTGCGTCGTAAATTGTGTAACGAAAAAGATCTTTTGCGTAGTTTTTGCATGCGGTTTATTTGGAGAAGTAAATTTTATTATTTCACGTAAGTATGCTGAATGAGTCTTGTATTCAGTGTAGTTTAATGGTGTGAAACGGCAATCGAAACGTAGTGTCGTGGAAAAGTATTTTTCGGCTTTCACGAAATGGCGTCTACCGTACAAGTTGGGACACTTATGTCGTATAAGTTGGGACAGCACGTTTTTTTATCCCAAGACACTGCGATGCTATTTAAATGATATTTTAATAACATTTGATGCATGCAATTATATTTATGATAGAATTTTGTATTATTGTGACGTATTTCTTTCATTTCATGTCTCTGCGTAGTTTTTCGCAATGTCACGCTACGTTCGGAAAACTGATCACGGAGTTACAGATTGGGATAATTTAATCGCAGCGATCAAGGAAATAAAAATCGATTTTAAGGGAATACGATCCACTGCAAAAGCGCATAATATCCCAAAAAGCAGTTTGGCGCGATATATAAAAAAAATTAACAACGCAAACGAAGATATTTCAACTCTCGGCGACGATGCATTGTTGAAGCTGGTTAAAAGCGTTTCTTCGTACGCCACTCCATCGTTGGTAAGTTGATGGTCTTATTTTAATCATTAATTATTTTTAAAATTGACTTTTTTTCGTTTTTGCAGCGACTTTAATGAATTTATTCGGATTTTGTTATTCACATTTTAAGGAGTTATGAATTTGTTTTAACAAACTATGTCTAATTAAACAAATAAAATTTTATAGGTTTTCTCACCCGAACAAGAAGAAGAATTAGTGGTTTACATTAAAAGATGTTGCGATCATTATTATGGCCTGAGTATAGCAGACCTCAGATTGCTTGCCTACCAGTTCGCCAAAAAAATTGATGCTCCATACCCACCAAGCTGGGATAAACATGAAACTGCAGGCCGAGACTGGTATTATTCCTTTTTGCAGCGGCATTCAAGCCTGACTTTACGAACACCAGAACAAACCAGTTTAAATCGCGTCAAAGCTTTCTGCAAAGAGAATGTGGAACTTTTTTTCGGAAATTTAGATAATATTCTAACAACTCATCCATTTCGACCATCAAATATTTGGAACATGGATGGAACCGGTTTTTCCACGGTTCCAACAAAAATTGGAAAAGTAATTGCAGTTCGTGGCATAAAAAAGGTCGGCCTAATGTCATCTGCTGAACGAGGAAGGATGATTACTATGACGTTGACAGTGAATGCAGAAGGCAATTCGATACCGCCATATTTTTTGTTTCCAACAAAAAAAATGCAGTGTTGTTACATGGATGATGCATCACCTGGAGCTGTTGGATTTGCAAATGAGTCGGGGTGGATGTGCCAACCAGATTTCGTGAAGTACATGAAACACTTCATTGAACGAAGTAATTCGTCGTTGGCAAATCCAACGTTACTCCTGATCGACAACCACAGCTCGCATTTATCTGTCGAGGTTTTGGATATGGCCGTAGAAAATGGCGTGACGCTTTTATCGTTCCCAGCCATAAACTACAACCTCTAGATGTGTCGGTATATGGCCCGGTAAAAAGCTACTATAAGATTCAGTGCAATGCTTGGCAGAAAAACAACGCTAACAAAGTCATTGAAATTCGCCATATTGCTAGCTTAGTGCAAAAAGCGTTGGACTTGGCACTTACTCCACGCAATATAAAAGCAGGGTTTCAAGCCACTGGAATTTCGCCATTCAACCCGAATGTATTCACCGACTCAGACTTCGTTCAGGCGGTAGTTGATGGTGAAAATGATAAAGTTATTGCAGCTGAGTCAGAAGAAAGTAACATGGAATTGCAGCGTCGCATTCTTATAAACGTACCAGAAATAGTTGCGCATGAAGAGACCAGTACATCAAAAACATCAAGTACGATGTCCTCGATTTTGTCTTCCGTCGGACCTTTGTGTGCTTCAACTCCAGGCAAAAAATGTAATCGTGAACCGGAAACCAATGAAGAGGTGCGTTTTAACATCGTCGGAAAATATCTCCGAAGCGAAAGAAAAGGAAAAAAAAAATTGGTTGCTAAAGAAAAAGCCACCGCGAATAAAGAAAAGAGGCTACTAAAAAGGAAACAACCTGCATCGAAAGAATCGGCACGGAAGCAACCTGCAAAAAAACGCGAGAAGAAAAAATCGACTTCTTCTTCGTCATCAGAGGACGATGATGATGATCATGATGATGATGATGATGAAGATGTCGATTTTTGCATTATATGCATGAAAAACATGCCTCGCAAACCGACTCGCTACAACTCCGTCGAATGCAACACGTGCAAACGCGCTGTGCACTTAAAATGCGCTAATATGCGAACGAGTTTTTTTACCTGCGCAAATTGTGATTCTGATTAACTTCAAAAAAGTTTGTAATTACTGACAGAATGATACGTAATGTTCATTTAATAATAATCATATTAATAACATGCATTTTTTGGCTCATTTTTCATATTTTAGAAAGTGTCCCAACTTATACGGCAAATTCTTTTTTGGCCGAAAAAGGTGTTTTCATTAAAATGTCTGTAACTTCTGACTCGAACACGATATCAAATAATTTTCTATAGCAAAGTTGTAGCCAATGACCATACTTTTTTATTGGTATTTTTTATTTAACGTCATTCCCATCCGTTTCAATACCACACACCAAAAACGAAACCCGTCCCAACCTGTACGACATTCCCTTATATGAAAGGTATGCAGACTTACCTTTTTAAAAAAAGGTAAAAAAAGCGCTAAGCGTGTGTGCTTTTCGTAAAGAATCACCATTTGGGCCAGTTTCACCAACGCCAATTACTTAATCGGCCGTGAAACTGATGATTAATCACGTTTGCTGTTTAGTAGAACTAATGATATGTATCATTTGTATAAAAGATTTGATATCAATAACTGGCGCCAAATTAAATTTTACCATTTTATTCTTTCCAAAGAAAAAATAATAGTAACTATAATTTTTTTCTTAATTTATTTAACTCTAATGGTATGTATCATTCGTATAAAAGATTTGATATCAACAAAATGGGCACCAAGCTAAATTCATAAAAATTTTATCAAAATTTTATGTATTATTCGTAAAAAAAATTTGATATCAACAATTGGCGCCAAGTTAAATTCCATGTAATTCGAATACCAAATTAAATAAATAATATTAACTTTAATGATATGTATCATTCCTATAAAAGATTTGATATCAAGAACTGGCGCCAAGTTAAATCCCACTTCTTTATAC